GAGGCGCGATCGCCTTCGCTCCTCGCGCTGGCCTCACGGGCCTTGGGGTCCACATGCGCGACAGGCAAAGCAGCAGCCCGCGAGACGGGAAAAGGGGCGCCCCAGAACGCCCCGCTCTGAGGTTCGCGGCCAGCTCTCAGGCGATCAAGGGCTTTCCGAGACAGTCTGGCCGCGTCGCGGCCCTTCCTGGCCAAGGGGCCTCCGCCTCTTCCTCCTCCTCCTCCTCCTCCTCCTCCTCCTCCTCCTCCTCCTCACCCCTCCTTCTCCTCCTCGTCCTCCCCCTCCTCCTTCTCCTCCTCCTCCTCCTCCTCCTCCGCCTCCGCCTTCTCCTCCTCCTCCTCCTCTTCTCCTCCTCCCCCCTCCTCCTCCTGCTCCTCCTCCTCCCCCTCCTCCTCGTCCTCCTCCTCCGTCTCCTCTCCTCCTCCTCCTCCTCCTCCTCCTCCTCCTCCTCCTCCCCCTCCTCCTCCTCCATTATTTCTCCTTCTGGGTAACTCCTCCCTGTCGCACCCCGAGGCCAGTTTCTAGGGCGGGCTGGGCGTTTCGCCTGAGACTTTCTCACAACTTATAATTCTGGAGCTTAAGGAGTGACAACAGTTTCACCGATGGAGGGCGGATCGCTTTCAAAATGTGGCTCTCGCCTTCTCACCGCGCACATCCGCTTTAACACTTTGCAAGGGTTTCACGGGTTGAGGGCGGGTGGTTTTCAAAACGTGGCTCTCGCCTTAGCACCGCGCGCGCTCGTGTTAAACAATTGCGAGGGTTGCACGGATTGAGGGCGGGCCGTTTTCAACATGTGGGTTTTGCTGTAGTGCCGCGCACACTCGTTTTCTTTATATATAAAAATATAGACTCAGCAAGGGTTTCGCAGGGTGATGTGGCTCTCGCCTTAGCGCCGAACACGTTCGTGTAAACAAGTTGTATGAGCTTCACGGATTGAGGGCGGGTCGTTTCCAAAATGCGGTTCTCGCTTTAGCGCGGCGCAGATTCGCCTTAACATTTGCAAGCGCTTCACGGATTGAGGGTGGTCCTTTTTTCAAAATGTAGTTATCGCCTTCGCGCCGCGCGCATTCTTTTGTGTGACAAACAAACAAACAGCACGAGTTTCACGGATTTTCCATGGCCAGCGTACCAACAATGAGTGTCTTGGAGGGTTCAGGACTATGCGGGCGCAACAGTTATATTGATTCGCTGTGTTGAAGTCCCAACAATGGCGTTCTGGCACGATTCTGGATCGTCAAGACGAAGCAGCCAGCTTGACACGTGGCGTTGACATCCCGAGATCGATGTTTTGGCACTCTTCCGGATCTTCAGAGTGTTGTCCTCCAACGAGGCAGGTCCCTGAATGGAAATGAGCCATTCTATGGGGCCTATGAGGAGGGAGCTTGTCGGGGAGGGTTAATTCCAACATCGTTGATGACGCTTGGGTTTCCACTGGTCCTCCTCCTCCTCCTTCTCCCACCCCTCCTCCTCCTCCTCCTCCTCCTCCTCCTCCTCCTCCTCCTTCTCCTCCTCCACAATTACACAATATGAAAATACTCTCCCACTTCCCCTGATGGCGTCCCGAAGATATCCGACCCCCCCCGCGTACTGTTTTTTTACACACAGGATTCCCGGGAAACGGGTTTCCGCTTGCGTTTTTTTTCAAAATGCTGCTCTCGCTGAGGCGCCGGCCTCATTTCTGCTCCCGAATCGTTCCGAATCGTGCTCCCGCTGCAGCGTGGGCCTCATTTTCGGATCGGTGTTTGGCCTCCGTCGTTCAGGATGGCGTTCTCGCCCCAGCGCGGGCCTCTTTCTCGCGCGCCCATCCGCCCGCCACCACCGCGCCGCACCCCCACCACCACCACCACCACCACCACCACCACCACCACCACCACCACCAACACCACCACCACCACCACCACCACCACCACCACCACCACCACCACCACCACCACCACCACCACCACCACCACCACCACCACCACCACCACACCACCACCACGCACGCACGCACGCGCACCACCACCCACTACGCACGCGCGCGCGGAGCCACAGGTCCGCTACGACACGCGTCCGCGGATAGAGAAAATCAGCGCCATGGTAAGGGATGAGAGAGGAGGGGCAGGACGTCAGATATGACGCGAGCGCACCTAGCTTG